ATTTATGCAGAAGATTTGAATGAAGAATCTGCACAGTGGATTGTGGGAGATCTCGTAGCTCCTTAGCTTCTTATGCTAAAGGAGCTCACGGTTTGTATTTTTCCTGGTTTATGAAATTGATTTAAGTTCATTTTTGCGTCTGCGCATTTGTAAGATTATGTCAAGAAACCGGGACACTCCATTTGATCATGTACATGTGGATATGAGTGTCCCTGTTTCTCAGTGAACATGTAAACACAGTAACACAACACTGACAGAACCGGGGTTTGGATCATAACCGGGTTATTGATCTGCATGTGACGCACTCAATGTTATAAAACAAATATCCTCCAGTGTCCTGGCTCCTCCTCCTGCTGCTGGGACATGAACACCTCCTGAGGGACACGTCCAGGAGACATCAGGACAGACGTCCTCCCCTCAGACGCTCCTCTCCACGTGGAGGAGCAGCGGCTCTACTCCGAGCTCCGACCTCCGTCTCTGAGGAGGAAACTCATTTGTGTCGCTCGTGTCGTGGATCTGCTCCTTCAGGTCATGACCAGAGGTGAGGAGGAACATCAGCTCCTCTTCACCACAACGATCTGATACAGCGACCGCATCACTGCCCACGCTGCACCTGCCCACCTGTCAATCTGCCCACGCTGCACCTGTCCACCTGTCAATCTGCCCACGCTGCACCTGTCCACCTGTCAATCTGCCCACGCTGCACCTGCACCTGTCCTGACCACGCTGCACCTGTCCACCTGTCAATCTGCCCACGCTGCACCTGCCCACCTGTCAATCTGACCACGCTGCACCTGTCCACCTGTCAATCTGCCCACGCTGCACCTCCACCTGTCAATCTGCCCACGCTGCACCTGCCACCTGTCAATCTGACCACGCTGCACCTGTCCACCTGTCAATCTGCCCACGCTGCACCTGTCCACCTGTCAATCTGCCCACGCTGCACCTGTCCACCTGTCAATCTGACCACGCTGCACCTGTCCACCTGTCAATCTGACCACGCTGCACCTGCCCACCTGTCAATCTGACCACGCTGCACCTGTCCACCTGTCAATCTGCCCACGCTGCACCTGTCCACCTGTCAATCTGCCCACGCTGCACCTGTCCACCTGTCAATCTGCCCACGCTGCACCTGTCCACCTGTCAATCTGACCACGCTGCACCTGTCCACCTGTCAATCTGACCACGCTGCACCTGTCCACCTGTCAGTCTCACACTCTGTCCCTGACTCCAAACCTCGACAGACTTGAACTCGTCCACTTGGGGCAGAATCTCCACCCGCCTGAAGACGACAAGACGACTTTTTCTGGTCCAGAACCTCAACCTCAGGTTTCACCACAGAATATTTCACAGATCATAAAGACGGAGCCAAAATTGTGTCAATAAAATAATTTTTAAAAATGAGAAGATCGTATCGGGAATTGTAAATACACACACATTTTATATTGGGATCCAAAAACCTGAATCTGGACCAGAGCAGGACTTAAATCTGGCCCAGACCAGGCCCAGACCAGGCCCAGACCAGGCCCAGACCAGGTCCAGACCAGGTCCAGACCAGGCCCAGACCAGGTCCAGACCAGGTCCAGACCAGGTCCTCAGACTCACCCTGTAGTCGTAGGTGGCGTCCGGGTTTTCGTCGCAGGCGATCACCTCCGGCGCCATCCAGTACGGCGTCCCGATGAACGTGTTCCTCCGACCCACGGTCCGATCCAACTGAGCCGAGACCCCGAAGTCCACTGAGAACAAGAACCAGGACTGAACCGGGACTAAACCGGGACTGAACCGGGACTGAACCGGGACTAAAAAAGGGACTAAACCAGGACTAAAACCAGGACTGAACACAGAGAGATTAAACAAGGACTAAACCAGGTTTAACCCAAGATTAAACCAGAATTGAACCAGGTCTAAACCGGGTCTAAACCAGGTCTAAACCGGGTCTAAACCGGGTCTAAACCAGGTCTAAACCGGGTCTAAACCGGGTCTAAACCGGGTCTAAACCGGGTCTAAACCGGGTCTAAACCGGGTCTAGTGAAAGTTCCGTACCCAGTTTGACTTCTGCGTTCTCCGTCAGTAGAACGTTCTGTCCTTTTATGTCTCGGTGGATGACGTGGTGAGCGTGAAGATGAGCCAGACCCTGAAACACACACACATGTAAACAACACACACACACACACACACACACGTAAACACACACACAACTGAGACAGGAGCAGACAGGAGCTGAAGAGGAGCAGACAGGAGCAGGCAGGAGCAGGCAGGAGCAGACAGGAGCAGACAGGAGCAGACAGGAGCAGGCAGGAGCAGACAGGAGCAGACAGGAGCAGACAGGAGCAGACAGGAGCAGAGGAGCAGGCAGGAGCAGACAGGAGCAGACAGGAGCAGACAGGAGCAGACAGGAGCAGACAGGAGCAGACAGGAGCAGACAGGAGCAGACAGGAGCAGACAGGAGCAGACAGGAGCGTCTCACCCGGAGGATTTCTCGGGAGATGTAGGCGATCCAATCTTCCTTCAGTTGGTTTCCTTTGGTGTTTTTGACCAGATCCGTGATGGAACCAGCGCCACAGAACTCCATCACCAACTGAAACACACACACACACACACACACGTCAACGACTGAAACACACACACACACACACACACACGTCAACAACTGAAACACACACACGTCAACAACTGAAAACACACACACACGTCAACAACTGAACACACACACACACACACACACACACACACGTCAACAACTGAAACACACACACACACACACACACACGTCAACGACTGAAACACACACACACACACACACACGTCAACAACTGAAACACACACACACACACACACACGTCAACAACTGAAACACACACACACACGTCAACAACTGAAACACACACACACACATCGTCAATAGAAAACAAACCCATTTTATTTCTACAGCTGATTTTATAAACCAAAGAGCTGCACAAATCAACAAAAGGTGTTAAAAAAAACTACAGAGGAAATAGAAATTAGAGCCCGACCGATATGGATTTTGTTGTGGCCGATATGAAACCGATATAATGGGAGTTGGCGCTGCCGATATAATCGCCGATATATTTAGTGATGTAAAAATTCACTGTAAATCTTGAATTGATTAAAAAACTTAGGTTTGGCTCTAGTGGATTCTAAATTGGGTTTATTTAGGCAACATTTATTGTTATTTTGACTCTTTAAATCATATTTACAGACAGTAGTTTGGCCTAATGGCATTTTTGCATCACATTCTAGCTACTAGTGATGGGTATTCCAGTTTTGTTTTTTTGTTTTTTTGGAGAACCGGCTCTTTTGGCTCGGCTCACTAAAGCAACTGGCTCTTTCGGCTCCCAAGCGACTCTTGAGATTGTTTTGTTGCAAGCAGGACTAAACCAGAACTGAACCAGGACTGAAAAAGGACTAAACCAGGACTAAAACAGATTTAAACCATGTGTGAAACAGGACTAAACCAGAACTGAACCAGGACTGAGTGTCTGGACTCGGTTTCTATCTCTCTCCTTCACTCGAGCCCAAGTTTAGTCCTGGTTTATTCATTTTATGCTGAACTGCAGCCAAATATGCACTTTTATTTTTTTTATCCTATGCACACGCAGATTTCTGAAAGTTTCGTTTTCAGCCGCTGCTGCTGTTAAACTACAGGTCGACATGCGACATGAAGAGAAAAAGTGAGAAAAAGAGAAAACACGGCTCCCAATAAGAAACATGCTCCTGTTGTTCGCTTCAAAGAGCCGAATCTAAGAGCCGCTTCGATCGCGACCGAAACATAACTCCTGCTAGTAAATAAACTACCGCTATTAGCCTTTAGCCGTAAAAACGTGCGCGCCGCGGTAATTAATTATATGCATAAATGTGGATCATTCACACGTCTATTCACAGCTCATTTACATCAATACTGGTCCAGTAACAAATATACGGACAATATAATCACTTTACAATAGACCAATAGAAAACAGTCTGTTTATGTGCGGAGCTACAGCAGCTAACCGCTAACAAAACCTAAACTAGCTTCAAAGTCGATGTATTTCCAACACTCACCGCTCACACAGGCTCCTCCCACATCACACAGGCTCCTCCCACATCACAAATCTGCACTAATAAATGTCCTTTTAATCCAGACTCAAACCGATTGTCCGTAAAAAGAAAATAATCTCAGTGTTGCGCACGGCTGCAGGTGTAAACAAACACACGTGAGTGAAGTGACGTGACTCTGTGGTGTGTTCAGGGACAGTACGGACACAGACAAATTACACCGCAGATAAATACTGATGTGGAGCCACATATTAGGACATTTATCTGTCTGTAAATTGGATTAAATGAACAGAATGTAGAGAGTCTAAGCTTTATAACGAGGTATAACATGTCCACGTGAAATATCGGCCCATATCAGCGAGCATATCGGCCGATAGCCGATATGTCTCCAGGTGCCCATATTGGCTGATAATATCGGCCAGCCGATATATCGGTCGGGCTCTAGCGTGTATAGTGTGTATAGTGTGTGTGTGTGTATAGTGTGTGTGTGTGTGTGTATAGTGTGTGTGTGTGTATGTGTATAGTGTGTGTGTGTATGTATAGTGTGTGTGTGTGTGTGTGTATAGTGTGTGTGTGTATAGTGTGTGTATAGTGTGTGTGTGTATAGTGTGTGTATAGTGTGTGTGTGTGTGTATAGTGTGTATAGTGTGTGTATAGTGTGTATAGTGTGTGTATAGTGTGTGTGTGTGTATAGTGTGTGTGTGTGTATAGTGTGTGTGTGTGTATAGTGTGTGTGTGTGTATAGTGTGTGTATAGTGTGTGTATAGTGTGTATAGTGTGTGTATAGTGTGTATAGTGTGTGTGTGTGTGTAGTGTGTGTGTGTGTGTATAGTGTGTGTGTGTATAGTGTGTGTATAGTGTGTGTGTGTGTGTATAGTGTGTGTATAGTGTGTGTGTGTATAGTGTGTGTGTGTGTGTGTATAGTGTGTGTATAGTGTGTGTATAGTGTGTGTGTGTGTATAGTGTGTGTGTGTGTGTGTGTATAGTGTGTGTGTGTGTGTGTGTGTATAGTGTGTGTGTATAGTGTGTGTGTGTGTGTGTGTGTGTGTGTGTATAGTGTGTGTGTGTGTGTGTGTGTGTGTGTGTGTATAGTGTGTGTGTGTGTGTATAGTGTGTGTGTGTGTATAGTGTGTGTGTATAGTGTGTGTGTATAGTGTGTGTTGTACATGTGTGTGTGTGTGTGTATAGTGTGTGTGTGTGTGTATAGTGTGTATAGTGTGTATAGTGTGTATAGTGTGTGTGTGTGTGTATAGTGTGTGTATAGTGTGTGTGTGTGTGTATAGTGTGTGTGTACAGTGTGTGTGTGTGTGTGTATAGTGTGTGTGTGTGTATAGTGTGTGTGTATAGTGTGTGTGTATATAGTGTGTGTGTATAGTGTGTGTATAGTGTGTGTGTGTATAGTGTGTGTGTGTGTGTGTGTATAGTGTGTGTGTGTATAGTGTGTGTGTGTGTGTGTGTGTGTGTGTGTATAGTGTGTATAGTGTGTGTGTGATAGTGTGTGTGTGTGTGTGTATAGTGTGTGTGTGTGTGTATAGTGTGTGTGTGTGTGTGTATAGTGTGTGTGTGTATAGTGTGTGTGTGTGTGTATAGTGTGTGTGTGTGTGTGTGTGTGTGTGTATAGTGTGTGTGTGTGATAGTGTGTATAGTGTGTGTGTGTGTGTGTGTGTGTGTATAGTGTGTATAGTGTGTGTGTGTGTGTGTATAGTGTGTGTGTATGTGTGTATAGTGTGTGTATAGTGTGTATAGTGTGTATAGTGTGTATAGTGTGTGTGTGTATAGTGTGTATAGTGTGTGTGTATAGTGTGTGTGTGTGTGTGTATAGTGTGTATAGTGTGTATAGTGTGTGTGTGTGTATAGTGTGTGTGTGTGTGTGTGTGTGTGTGTATAGTGTGTGTATAGTGTGTATAGTGTGTATAGTGTGTGTGTGTATAGTGTGTGTGTGATATAGTGTGTGTGTATAGTGTGTGTGTGTGTGTGTGTGTGTGTATAGTGTGTGTGTATAGTGTGTGTGTGTGTGTGTGTGTGTATAGTGTGTGTGTGTGTGTATAGTGTGTGTGTGTATAGTGTGTGTGTGTATAGTGTGTGTGTGTGTGTATAGTGTGTGTATAGTGTGTGTGTGTGTGTATAGTGTGTGTGTGTATAGTGTGTGTGTATAGTGTGTGTGTATAGTGTGTGTGATAGTGTGTGTGTATAGTGTGTGTGTGTGTGTGTGTATAGTGTGTGTGTGTGTGTATAGTGTGTGTGTGTGTATAGTGTGTATAGTGTGTGTGTGTATAGTGTGTGTGTGTATAGTGTGTGTGTATAGTGTGTGTATAGTGTGTGTGTGTGTGTGTGTGTGTGTGTATAGTGTGTGTGTGTATAGTGTGTGTATAGTGTGTGTGTGTATAGTGTGTGTGTGTATAGTGTGTGTGTGTGTATAGTGTGTATAGTGTGTGTGTATAGTGTGTATAGTGTGTGTGTGTATAGTGTATAGTGTGTGTGTGTGTGTGTGTGTGTGTATAGTGTGTGTGTGTGTGTGTGTGTGTATAGTGTGTATAGTGTGTATAGTGTGTATAGTGTGTATAGTGTGTATAGTGTGTGTGTGTGTGTATAGTGTGTATAGTGTGTGTGTATAGTGTGTATAGTGTGTATAGTGTGTATAGTGTGTGTGTGTGTGTATGTGTGTGTATAGTGTGTGTGTGTGTGTGTGTGTATAGTGCGTGTGTGTGTGTATAGTGCGTGTGTGTGTGTGTATAGTGTGTGTATAGTGTGTATAGTGTGTATAGTGTGTGTGTGTATAGTGTGTCTGTGTGTGTGTATAGTGTGTGTGTGTGTGTGTATAGTGTGTCTGTGTGTGTGTATAGTGTGTCTGTGTGTGTGTATAGTGTGTATAGTGTGTGTGTGTGTGTGTGATAGTGTGTGTGTGTGTGTATAGTGTGTGTGTGTGTACAGTGTGTCTGTGTGTGTGTGTATAGTGTGTGTATAGTGTGTATAGTGTGTGTATAGTGTGTGTGTGTGTATGTGTGTGTGTGTATAGTGTGTGTGTATAGTGTGTATAGTGTGTGTGTATAGTGTGTGTGTGTATAGTGTGTGTGTGTGTGTGTGTGTATAGTGTGTGTAGTGTGTGTGTGTGTATAGTGTGTGTGTGTGTGTGTGTGTGTGTGTGTGTGTATAGTGTTGTGTGTGTGTGTGTGTGTGTATAGTGTGTGTGTGTACAGTGTGTGTGTGTGTGTGTGTGTGTGTGTGTGTGTGTGTGTGTGTGTGTGTATAGTGTGTGTGTGTGTGTGTGTGTGTGTTGTACCCAGAGTTGGTCGTCGTGTCCTGGGGGACTCTTCTTGATAAAAGCTCCGTAGTAGGTGGCGATGTTTCTGTGGTGAGAATATTTCTTCAACATGTTGATCTCCAACTTGATCTCCTCCTCCTCGTCCTGAAACGACAACAGACAGAGACACAGACACAGACAGAGACACAGACAGAGAGAGACAGAGACACAGACAGAGACACAGACACAGACAGAGACACAGACACAGACACAGACAGAGAGAGAGACACAGACACAGACAGAGACAGAGACACAGACACAGACACAGACACAGACAGAGAGAGAGACAGAGACACAGACAGAGACACAGAGACAGAGACACAGACAGAGACACAGAGACAGAGACACACAGACAGAGACACAGACAGAGACACAGACAGAGACACAGACAGAGAGAGAGACAGAGACAGAGACACAGACACAGACAGAGACACAGACAGAGAGAGAGACAGAGACACAGACACAGACACAGACAGAGACACAGACAGAGAGAGACAGAGACACAGACACAGACAGAGACACAGACAGAGACACAGACAGAGACACAGACAGAGACACAGACACAGACAGAGACACAGACAGAGACACAGACACAGACACAGACAGACACAGAGACAGACACAGAGACAGAGACACAGACAGAGACACAGACACAGACAGAGACACAGACAGAGACACAGAGACAGACACAGAGACAGACACAGACAGAGACACAGACAGAGACACAGACAGAGACACAGACAGAGACACAGACACAGACAGAGACACAGACAGAGACACAGACAGAGACACAGACACAACAGAGACACAGACAGAGACACAGACAGAGACACAGACAGAGACACAGACACAGACAGAGACACAGACAGAGACAGACAGACAGAGACAGAGACAGAGACAGAGACAGAGACACAGACAGAGACACAGAGACAGAGACAGACAGAGACACAGACAGAGACACAGACAGAAACACAGACAGACACAGACAGAAACACAGACAGAGACACAGACAGAGACACAGACAGAGACAGAGAGACAGAGACACAGACAGAGACACAGACAGAGACACAGACAGAGACACAGACAGAGACAGACACAGACAGAGACAGAGACAGACAGAGACACAGACAGAGACACAGACAGAGACACAGACAGAGACACAGACAGAGACACAGACAGAAACACAGACAGAGACACAGAGACAGACACAGAGACACAGACAGAGACACAGACAGAGACACAGACAGAGACACAGACAGAGACACAGACACAGAGACACAGACAGAGACACAGACAGAGACACAGACAGACAGACACAGAGACAGAGACAGACAGAGACACAGACACAGACAGAGACAGACAGACAGAGACACAGACAGAGACACAGAGACAGAGACACAGACACAGACAGACACAGACACAGAGACAGAGACAGAGACAGACACAGACAGACAGAGACACAGACAGAGAGAGAGAGAGACAGAGTTACACCAGACGACAGGATCATCTGCTCCATCTGTGCTTCTTCTCCTCCTCCTCAGCTTTTTGTTTTAATCATGTGATCATCAGTTCATTTGTATCATTTCAATATAAAACCTGTATTTTTTTTATCCATGATTTAAACTTTTTGTTGTGAGGCGTTTAGGTTCCTGTAAATCTGAGCTCTAGTCCAGCCGAGCTCCGGTCCGACCCGAGACCCGAGCTCTAATCTGACCCGAGACCCGAGCTCCGGTCTGACCTGAGTCTGACCCGAGTCTGAACCAAACACAAACTCACGAGTCACAAACGTTGACTCAGAAAAACATGAATCACACACGACACAAAAACCTGACTCAGAACCATGACGTAAGAGACGGGCGAGTCCAGACCGAAACCAGGACTAAACCAGGACTAAACCAGGACTGAACCAGGACTGAACCAGAGACTAAACCAGGACTAAACCAGGACTGAAACCAGGACTAAACCAGGACTAAACCAGGACTGAACCAGGACTGAACCAGAGACTGAACCAGGACTGAACCAGGACTAAACCAGGACTGAACCTGAGACTAAACCAGGACTGAACCAGGACTGAACCAGGACTGAACCAGGACTAAAACCAGACTAAACTAAACCAGGACTAAACCAGGACTAAACCAGAGACTAAACCAGAGACTAAACCAGAGACTAAACCAGAGACTAAACCAGGACTGAACCAGGACTGAACCAGGACTGAACCAGGACTAAACCAGGACTGAACCAGGACTGAACCAGAGACTAAACCAGAGACTAAACCAGGAGACTAAACCAGAGACTAAACCAGGACTAAACCAGAGACTAAACCAGAGACTAAACCAGGACTAAACCAGAGACTAAACCAGAGACTAAACCAGAGGACTAAACCAGAGACTAAACCAGGACTAAACCAGGACTAAACCAGAGACTAAACCAGGACTAAACCAGAGACTAAACCAGAGACTAAACCAGGACTAAACCAGAGACTAAACCAGGACTAAACCAGAGACTAAACCAGAGACTAAACCAGGACTAAACCAAGACTAAACCAGGACTAAACCAGGACTAAACCAGAGACTAAACCAGGACTAAACCAGGACTAAACCAGGACTAAACCAGGACTAAACCAGGACTAAACCAGAGACTAAACCAGAGACTAAACCAGGACTAAACCAGGACTGAACAAGAGACTAAACCAGACTAAACCAGACTGAAACCAGAGACTAAACCAGGACTAAACCAGAGACTAAACCAGGACTAAACCAGAGACTAAACCAGGACTAAACCAGAGACTAAACCAGGACTGAACAACAGACTAAACCAGGACTAAACCAGAGACTAAAACGGGTTTAAACTAGGACTAAACAAAGAACTAAACCAAGACTAAACCAGGACTAAACAAAATCCTCCTCTGTCTGTTTTATGAATAAAATGTGAGGCTTTTTTTTCTATTTTCATCCATAATTTTTCATTTAAACAAGACAAATCTTCACATTTTCTTCTTCATCTCAGTAAATCAACTCCAGAGAGACACTGGTGCACTTCATGTTTGTGCCTGATGCCCTCCCACTCCCCCCCGACCCCCCGAGTCCACACAAAGACCCGCAGCCCCGCAGCCCCGCAGCCACAGGGCCAGGCTCTGTCCTCCAGTCTGAGGCTCTTCTGTCTCCGGCTGCAGTTCGATCTGAATAATCACCGACCCACAGCTGCTTCTGCTCCACTAAACCACTGTGAATGTACTCGAGTAAAAGTACTGAGATTTCTACATATCAACAAAAGTCTAAAGTCCAAAAGTAGAAAAGTGTTTAGGGAAAATACGACTGAAATAAATCCCCAAATTTGGAGTTTTTAGTGTTTCAAAGAGACAAAAAAATGATTGAGAGAAACTAAAAATATTTGAAAAATCTACTAAGACATAAAAGAAAGACTAAACCAGGACTAAACCAGGACTAAACCAGGACTAAACCAGGATTAAACCAGGACTAAACCAGGACTAAACCAGGACTAAACCAGGACTAAACAGGACTAAACCAGGACTAAAACCAGACTAAACCAGGATAAACCAGGATTAAACCAGGATTAAACCAGGACTAAACCAGGACTAAACCAGGACCAGGACTTAAACCAGGACTAAACCAGGATTAAACCAGGACTAAACCAGGACTAAACCAGGACTAAACCAGGACTTAAACCAGGACTAAAACCAGGATTAAACCAGGACTAAACCAGGACTAAACCAGGACTAAACCAGGATTAAACCAGGACTAAACCAGAACTAAACCAGGACTAAACCAGGACTAAACCAGGACTAAACCAGGAACTAAACCAGGACTAAACCAGGACTAAACCAGGACTAAACCAGGATTAAAACAGGGACTAAACTAGGACTAAAACCAGGACTGAAACAGGACTAAACCAGGACTAAACCGGGTCTAAACCGGGTCTAAACCAGGACTAAGTCAGGACTAAAACAGAACTAAACAAGGGATTAAACCAGGACTGAATCAGGGACTAAACTCCTCCTAAATGTGCTCAAGTTAAACTAAATTATATCTCAAAAATCTGCAAGAAACACAAATGTTGTACAGAGTTGACAGCTTTTACACACGGGGAGGGCACCTGACACACGGGGAGGGCACCTGACGGACGGGGAGGGCATCTGACGCACGGGGAGGGCATCTGACGCACGGGGAGGGGCACACTGACACACGGGGAGGGCACCTGACACACGGGAGGGCACCTGACACACGGGGAGGGCATCTGGCACCTGACACACTGACACACGGGGGAGGGCACCTGACGACACGGGGAGGGCACCTGACACGGGGAGGGCACCTGACACACGGGGAGGGCATCTGACACACGGAGGGCATCTGACACGCACACGGGGGGGCACCTGACACACGGGCCAGGGCACCTGACACACGGGGAGGGCACCTGACGCACGGGGAGGGCAAGACCACGGGGAAGGGCAAACGTGATAAAAACACAAAAACAAACCCGAGGATCAAACCGGTCGAACTGTTGGACACAGACTTTATCTTTTTCGACTATTTTGAAATGAAACGTATTTTATTTTTCCAAGACATTTTTCCAGACTTTAAAAGAGCTGGAGTTTAAAAGTGTGTGTGTTTTATTTGATGAAGTCGTCCACTAAAATTCATTCACGTAAAATAAATGTTGCTTTTGGGGTGAATATTGTTACAAGATTCATTGAGGTTAATTAACTACAAAGTCTGTCATTAATTGGATTTTTTATTTTATTTTTTTTATCAAAAGGCCCTGGAGAAAGATCTGAGAAGAACAGCTCTGATTAAAAGTCTAAAATATGTTCTGGTTTTGCAGATGTCAGAAAGTGGAGTGTAACTCGAGTAAACACAATGTCGAGTCTCAGGTTTAACGATCGGCACAAACTGAAACATGATCCACTTTTTTATGATGTGACGAGCTGAAGTTACAGATCTGAACCCAACCGGATCTGAACCAGGAAACACGGCCACAAACGTGTGAAAAACCCGACGCTGATCGAGACTAAAACTCATATCGAAACTGACTCCTGTTCAAAGTGTTTTTCTGTGACGTGTCGTGGATCGTTTTTATTTATTTACCCTCTGATAATCAAAGAGAAAACAGACAAAACTCTCCACAC